GTAAAGCCAATCGACAGCTGGTCAAGAGGAATCCGCCGTCGTCTTCTGGTGGAACCGACCTTCGAATCTCAGGGACAATGTAGACAGCGGGTGTGACGATGCCACACTAGTCTCACCAAAAAGGAGAACACCTTTTTAGGAATAGAATGTAGACAAGTCGGAAGTTGTGATGAGGTGGGAGGATAAGAAGTCGAGAGATGGGCTAGGACAGAATGAGGAGCGATGGCACAGTCGTTTCAGCAGAAAGCTCGATCAAGTGAATGACTTCACTTGTCTCTTCGTCGAGTTGTAGCTTGGTGCTGCGAGCAGCAAGACTCACTGATGCTGTCGACTACAATGCCGGCGAGACGTCTGGGAGTGTACCAAGTCCACGATCCGACGCTGAGAATTATGCTAACAGCTATAACAGAGGACTTTGGACAAGATGCGCCCAACTAAGCCGCCCTGACAACACGAGCAAGTTGCAAAAACGAGGTCGGACGACTTCCTGAAATAGCGAAACCGCTCAGTAGAAAAAAGGTGTGTAAGCTCAGTCTGATCATTTTAATTAACATTATGAGTGTGTAATAAATTACCATATATAATTCCTTAACCGAATTCTTACTCACCATCGACTAGAAAAAGTGAAATCCAGCCAGCTGACTCGCCGACCGAAGGAAGTGCCTGGTTCCCCATCGGCCTCTTCCTCGCGTCTTGGCTGATCTGACCAAGTTTGATGAACGGTTGGTGGAATACCTTTGTTGCCATCAAGATTATCTTTATCCGGGCCAACGCCTGTGTTGCGAGCTCGGGGTACAGCTTCACTCCCGGATAAGGGGCACAGGTGGGCGGGGAGACAGACTCCTAAAGGCAGGCACCAGCCGCAAATGGGATCGCCAGCTGACAAACATGCGATGCAGGTTGGTTGGTCTGTGCATTTGTAGAGTAGAACACGTAGTAACTGACCGAGATGTGTCCATGGGGCGGGGGGTAGAAACACGCCAGGCAAGTTTCAATTGAACAATAACCACCAAACTAATGTGGAAGCAGAGCTGTTTATAATTCTAATTAATGGTTGAATCATTCGTGTGCATCATGTTTGGAGATAAGATTGCCACAAATAACTAGGCCGTTCATTGTTAAATGTTTATAATCTTATCTTTACCATCCATAAACATTATTGTGGACCGAAGATAGTTGGTAATCAACCCATCATGCTGTTTTGCGATCCACTCATCAGAGAGCATGAATGTAAACATTTATTTTAATATCAGATAATTACACCACACTTTGACAGGTTAAAATAGTGGTTCCCTTTTGGAGAATTGTTTCTCTTCACCATTGAAGAGCTTATAAACATAAGCAATTTTACTGCATTTGCAAAACACAAAAGCTGTGAATGGATTTTTGTTTTTGACCGCCGTGCAACTGCGTAATCAACTCTTAAGAAGAATATCCCAATTCGCTATATTTTATTGAAATCTTAGCTAAATCCCTTCACGCATAAACATGAGATTCAACTTCTTAAGTCTGATATTTCCACTCTGTCAACCTTTACCTTTTTATTTATTATATGTCAAATTATACTCTGTTAATATCTATTTATATCACTTTATCTCATCATCACCGATAGATAGACCTTACTAGAATAATTCACCGAATTAAACTTACCATTAGTAATCGAAGGTATGAAGACCAAGATGGTGTCGCCTTTTGTGTCGTTGCAGTCTCATTTTGTTGTGTAGAGGTTGTTTGACCTTGTTTTCGCAATTTGGTCATATTGGTGGGAAGACTTAGAGGAACGCACCTAGCCCGTAGTCCATTGTATGCATGATCATTTCCAGAGTAGGACCGTGGATGTGGTACATCCCAGGCGTTTCGCCGGCACTAGATGCGTACCAATATGATCAAATTGCGAAAACAAAGTCAAACAACCTCTTTACCGTTAGTAAATTTGCAAGAACAGTAGACCTGGAGCTCCTACCTATAAAATACAAAGCTCAAAACTTTTAATCAAAGATAAGAAGGCTAAGATTGTGTATTATAGTATTCAGCCTCGTTCTCGCAACTTGGTATTTTTGTCATAAAGCCAAAATATGCGCACCTTATCCGAAGTGCTCTACCAT